TTGAAGGGTAACTACTATTGTGACTTACAACACTGTAAATTGTGCTGTTTTTGAATATTCTATATGTAGATCGAATCATAGCGTGTGTACCATTTTCTCTGTGACTACTTTTTAATACAGATGTTTTGTCTTTTATTATGTATTGCTAAGTTCCCTCTAGAAAGGTCATTTCAGTTTATTTTCCCAGTATGCATGCTACTTTCCCCACTAACTATGGATATTATCTTTTAAAAAATGTTTTCCCCAAGGTACCTGGGTGGCTCAGTGGGTTAGAGCCTCTGCCAGGGTGCTGGGATCGAGTCCCACATCAGGCTCTCTGCTCAGCAGGGAGCCTGCTTCCCTCTCTCCCTCTCTCTGCCTGCCTCTCTGCCTACTTGTGACCTGTCTCTCTGTCAAATAAATAAAATCTTCCCAAAAAAAAGTTCCAAAAAAAAAAAAAGTTTTCCCCACCGTGATCAAGGAAAATCGTACCTGATTGTTTTAGTTTACTTATTTTTCTAAGTAGGTCAAACATCTTTTACTTATGCTTATTATTTGATTTTTCTTTTATAAATTTCCTGCTTTGTTTTCTAATTTCTTTTGACATGGTTTTCTTACTAATTTGTTGTAGCTTAATGTAAAAAAAGACAGTGTCCCTTTGTTATATATATATATTGCAAATACTCTCAGATTTCTTCATCTTTTAATTTGACACTAAAATTTTATTTTATGAAAGTATAAGTAGCATACAGTGTCATACTAGTTTTGGGTGTACAACACCGAAACTCCCTGCTTGGCAGGGAGCCTGCTTCTCCCTCTGCTCTGCTCCCTGCTCATACTTTCTCTCTCTCATTCTCTCTTTCAAATTAAAAAAAAAAAATCTTTTAGAAAAAAAGAGTCTGGGTTTTTTTTTGTTTGTTTCTTTGTTTTTGGTTTTTTTGTTTTTTTTTTAAGATTCCACATATAAGTGAAATCATGTGGTATTTGTGTTTCTCTAACTTACTTCACCTAGCATAGTAACTTCTAGGCCCATCCATGTTGTTGTGAATAGCAAGATTTTATTCTTTTTTATGACTGAATATTTCAGTGTTTGTATGTACCACATCTTCTTTATCCATTCATCTATCAATGGGCACTTAGGTTGCTCCCATATCTTGACTATTGTAAATAATGCTGCAGTAAACATAGGAGTGCATGTATCTTTTCAAATTGGTGGTTTTGTTTTCTTGTATAATACCCAGTGGATTGATCTTATAATTACTTGATCATATAATATTTCTGTTTTTAACTTTGAGGAATTTCCAGACTGTTTTCCATAGTGGCTGTACCAGTTTCCATTCCCACCAACAGCCAAGTATTCCTTTTTCTTCACATCCTCATCAACACTTGTTATTTCTTGCCTCTTTGATTCTAGCAATTCTGACATGTGTAAGGTAATATCTCATTATGGCTTTGTTACTAAAGTTTTAAGCTTCTCTTAAGTTTCTGCCTATGTGTGATGCTTAGAAAGCCTTCTTCACATCCCAGTTTTATAAACATTTATATATGTTGGTGGGATTTTACTCTTCCTCCTCCTAACCACCCATCCCCCTGCACTGATCTTTGTGATTACATCTGCATACATGGAAAACCCCACCAAATGATGTTATATCATGTTTGTCTTAAAAAATCATAAGTATTTTAAAGAAATTCTGAGGGAAAAAGTAATCTTTTAAAAGTAATCTTAAACTGTTGATCATTTATGTTGTTTTTCTGTTGTTTTTAATGTTTCAGGTTTCCTCCCAGTATTGTTGCTCACCAGCTTAAAGAACTGCCTTTAACATCTCTTCTTTTTTTTTTTACCTAAAGATTTTATTTATTTATTTGACAGACGGAGATCACAAGTAGGCAGAGAAGCAGGCAGAGAGAGAGGAGGAACCAGGCTCCCCGCTGAGCAGAGAGCCCAATGCAGGCCTCAATCCCAGGACCCTGGGATCATGACCTGAGCTGAAGACAGAGGCTTTAACCCACTGAGCCACCCAGGCGCCCCTAACATCTCTTCTAAAGTTTTTTGGCAATGAATTCTTTTAGTTTACCTTTACTTGAAAATGTCTTTATTTTGCCTTCATTCCTGAAGTATATTTTTGCTGGATATAGAATTTTGAAAGGTTTTTCACGCTCCTATATTTTTTTCCATCTGGACCTCCATTTACCTGTATGTTAGTTGCACAGGCTCCTGAGGTTCCTGCATTGTATTTCAATCTTTTTCTGCTGGTTTTTCAAATTAGATACTTTCAATTGACCTATCTTCACATTCACTGATTTTTTTTTTTTTCTCCCTGTCATCTCCATTCTGCAGTTTAGCCCAGGGAGCTTTTTATTTTGGTTATTACATTTTTTAATTCTAAAACTTCCATTAGTTTTATCTATTTATTTATTTATTCATTCATTCTTTCATTCATTTATTTAGTAGTTTCTTTTTCTCTACAAGAATTTCTATCTTTCACTTCATTTCAGTGCCCCATTTCTGTTGCCCCATAACGGTTATAATTCTGTTTTAAAGTTTTTGTCTCAGTACCAGCTTCTGGGTCATCTCACAGTTGGCATTTGTGGATTATCTCTTTTCTTAAAGACATTTTCCTGGTTCTTTGTGTGTTGAATAATTTTGGATTGTTTTCTGGATGTTGTGCGTGTTATGTCGTGTGTACTGTCGGTCCTGTTATAATTATCTAGAGAATGTTGTTGGTGTTTGGTGTGAGCGGGCAGTCAACCCAGTTAAAGCCAAAACATAAGCCCTGTCAACCATGTCTGGGCAGGCGGTGGTTCACATCTCAGTCCAGTTCTTTAAACGTTTGCTGTAGTGTTTTGGGCTCTTCTACACATACCCTGATTAGTGATTAGTCTAACTCTGTACAGCTTTTTCAAATCTCTCTTATGTTCTGGAGATCTTTGTTGATTGGAGATTTTTAAGGCCTGTGCCCGTGGTTGAGATTTTAGTTCCATTCTCTCAGCCTTTGTTATGTTGATTTGGAACTAATCTGTAGTTCAGAGGTCAGGCTGAGACTTTTTTGGGTCCCTACAAAGTAGGGTTCCTCTCCTCCCCCCCATGATTCCCACATTCTCTTTTTTCAGTTTTTCAGTTGAAAATTATAAGTTCTAAGTCTGGTTATTCACTGATTTCATAAAGTGTCCTGACAACATAGTAAGACTAGCTGAATTTAAGAAACTGAAAACTGAAAATCTTAACTGAAATGTATTGAGAACGTGCTACATGAGAGACCTATGCAAATTAAGGAGAACAACAATATGAATTACACATAGGCTTTGTTTTTAAAAAAAAAATTGCCGTCTGGGACGCCTGCCTGGCCTGGGTGGCTCAGTTGGTTAAGCGACTGCCTTCAGCTCAGATCATGATCCCACGGTCTTGGGATCGGTCTTGGGATCCTATCCCCCATCCCACATGGGGCTCCTTGCACAGCCAGGAGCCTGCTGCTTCTTCTCCCTGCTGCTTCTTCTCCCTGCCGCACCCCCTGCTTGTGCTCACTCGCTCACTCTCTGTGACAAATATAAATAAAATCTTTAAAAACACACACACACATTGTAGTCTGATAGCACAATTAACTATAAGTAGTATGGTAAGTTCTATAATAGAATTGTATATAATAAGCACATTCTCTCAGCAAATATTTATTGTGTACTATGGGCCAGGCACTGCTCTGGACACTGGTGAACAAGACTGGCATACAGGAATAAATTTAAGAAAATAGTTGAATTAGTCTATGGAGGAGTACCAGGAAATCAACTGATAGAAGTCATGTTTTAGAAATGTTCTGAGTAACTACATAGTTTTCTATAATAATCTGTACCTGAGTACTACATTGTTTTATATTTTGTCTGTTTGACAGAATTATAAATAGTATTTTGATTCTCTCTTGGTATCTAAAACGTAATGAACCTCAGTGTTAAATATCGAAATTGTTTTGGGCCCAATCCGTATTAACCTCACAGATCAATAAAAGTTCACATTCTCAACAAAAGCAGCAGAGTACACAAATTAGCTAGCTTTATAGTGATTTTTCAATAATCGGTATCCTATTTTTAATACCTTATAAGCTATTTTTTAATGCCAGTTTTAAAAATAGATAAACCTAATGCTGTTAATGAAAGAAAAAGGGATGGTATCATTTAAATTTTAAAAAGAAATGAAAATTACATATCCTAATCTGAATATTTGTCTTTTAGAGACCGTTTTATACTATCACAGTAACCCTTAGAGTTACCTCAGAGGTTCTCCTTTGGGTATATGCTTAAACATATGTTTTATTTGAGTACTATTATATATTTTTAGTTTATCTTCAGCAAAAAAGTGGCATTTAAAAATTCTGTTGATCTCATTACAAAAATATTCATAGTACTTTGCTTTAAAATTAGATGCACAAGATCAGAAGAAATTAAATGAGATCTTTGTATAAAAGAGTATGTTTAAGTTAAATTTATTGCCGTGTCACAAACCACCTTAAAACCAAGTACCTTGAAGTCACAATCATTTAGATTTATTTGTGTATGATTCTGCAGTCCGGACTGGACTTGTCCTCTAGTTCTTCTGCTGGTTTCTCCCCAGGTCTCTCAGGCTGCTGCAGTTGTCTGGTTTGACTGGAGCAGAGAGCTCCAAGATGGCTCCCGCCTGCACAGCAGGCTGTCTTTGGGAGAGCATGGGTCAGCTCTTGGGGCTGGCTGAGGCTTCTTCCTTCATGTGGTCTCTCACTTTTCAGTAGTCTACCACAGTCATTTCTCTAATAAAACACATATTGGTTATTTGATTAGCCTTGTTGCCCTTATTATTATATTGTTTCTGTGGGGAAAGCCAAATTATATGACTTCATTTTCACATGTAACATCTTTTCCAGGAGGTAATAGTGACCTGTCATAAGTATAAGAGGTATCTATTCTTTGAAATGGTTTCTTTTTGCCATGATCTTGAAAGACTGAATAATTGTTATGTCATGTAATTAGTTTAATAATTATTTATTTTTTTTAAACAGGCAATTGCTGGCTACTTTGATATATATTTTGAGAAAAATTGTCACAGCAGGGTAAGTATCATGAGTTTTCCCATAAGAATTAATTATGTGAAATACATTGTATTTTATTTTTGTGCCCCAAGGTGTTTGATCATAAGCATTTTGCTGTTGTAAGCAATCGGAGCTTGTATTTGATGTAGTAGATTAATGTAGCATGATATTAAAAATCTTGTACTTCATCAGATACTTTTGAACTCTTACCAATGCAGGTCGTGTTCTCCACGGGCCCCCAGAGTGCCAGAACACACTGGAAACAAACAATATTTCTATTGGAAAAGCCATTTTCCGTTAAAGCAGGTGAGAAAGAAAAGGGAGAGAAATGTCTTATTCTTTTTGAAGTAAACATTATTCCTTCATTCTACAGTGACTTATTGTATGCCCACTGTCTTCGAAACAATGCAACATCTAGTAAGATAAGATGTTCTTAGAGCTACATAAATTTTAGATGGCATATCATTTCAATAAAGTAGTGATTTAAAGAAAACTCTTATTTAGATTAGATTTATAATTCCTGCCAGTTAAAATATGCTTTAATATGTAGCTTTTATTTTGAGTCCCACAAAGTAATTCTGACAACTTTTCTTTAAGTATTAACTAGTAGTATATATTAAGTTGCAAATATAAGTAAAAATGCTTTCACTTCCAAAGTGACTAAAGAGAAATATCACTGATAGAGGTGAAGTGTAAATTTAAAAGAATGCTATTCAGTAGTTACAGTGTTCAGTATATGTGTCTAGAGGGCTCTCCCCAGTCTGTACCCACTCAAATCTTACACAGTGCTCAAGGACTGGCCCAATTCTGCATTCTTCTGTCTTGCACCTCATCGATTGCTCACTCTGATGAGCATCTAGAGTTCTTACGTACCTATACCCTTAGCTCCAAAAGTTAGAATTTGACTGTGGAATCTCTATTATTTAAATTGTTTATTACATATAAGTTATCCTCCCCCACCTTTACAGAAAGCTTTCTGACTATATGAAGCCTGAATGTATAACAGACTTCCACGAAAAGAAACTCAAAATCACTAGGAACTCAGGGAGAGAAGCCAATTAAAACTATGTAAGAAACTTTCTTAGCCATCACTAGAGGAAAAAAAAAAAAAAAACATAAAATTTAACAAGGCCAAGTACCTGCAATCATGTAGCCAAATGGAACTTTTATATTCTTCTGCTGATAGTCTTTATTGGTACAGCTTTAGAGAACATTTGCTACCTTCAAGTTAAGTATAGATGTATAAGTATCCATCGCTAAAACCACAGTTTTTTTCTAGGGATGTATTCTGAACAGTCTCCCCTGCAGCCTGTCTACAACAATCTTGACAACAGTATGGTTTGTAGAAGTGAAAAATTGGAGGCACCCTGAATGTCCATTAACAGAAGATAGATAAATATGATAGTTGCATACAGTAAAATCTCTGTAACAGATTGATCATGTATTTGTGAATATCAGAAGCAACATTAAGCAAAAAAAGTTAGAGTGATTCCTACATTACATTGTTTATATGGAGTTTAAAGACCTGTGAAACAGTTTCCTGTACAAACACACATAGTCAAAGTAAGAAGCAATACTTAAAGATGATAACTGGGGAATTCAGTGTGGCTGCCCCTGCAGAAGAATAGAAATAGGATCAGGGAAGGCTTTAAAGGGGATTCAGTGTCATAGACCTGAATTATTCCTTTTAGAAATTGAGGGAACTGTGGGAGAATGTTAAGATTTGACAAAACTTGAGTGGTGGGTCTGGGTGGTCATTATACTGTTCTCTCTGTGTTTCAAATATTCCATAAAATTCAGGTATAGTTTGATTTCCCTGTTGGTGCATAAATTGAATTTGGTAGATGCACATAAACACTATTAGAGTAAAGCAGCACCTTGTTGTCATGTTTTCACTTTAAGATTGTAGTGCTATGGAAATAAAACCTTGATGGTCTCATTTTCTCTTTCTCCAAAAAGCTTGAGCACAGCAAAACTGAAGTGTGATGAGCACAAATGAAATTTTATTACATTTTCATTTATTTTTGTTTGGTTGGGTTTTGTATAGCTTTGGTATTTGGATTGATACTTGGAAACTTGAAAATGTTGCTTTCTTCACAGTTCCCATTTTATTATCTTAGTGCTAAATTTTAAAGGTAGTGCTAATTCATTCATGTTTAAATCTTGAGAGAGATTTAAGATAGCATTTGAATTTTCTCCTGTCTAATTACAACAAAATATTATTTTATTCTAGTGAAATTTTGAAATCCTAACTACTTATTACCCAGTAATCCTTAGAGTAACTGTTTCAGCTTTTTCAGAATACTGTGAAGGAGATTTATGATTTTAATATTGCCTTGTCTACATTCTGTATTTCTTTCATTGCCATTGTATATGTGCTTATATTTAAATAGTAAGACCAGTACACCACAAAATTTTGGAATCCCCTAAAATACAACCAGGAAAAACTTAAAAGGGAAATTTCAAAGTAAGGAAAATGTGGTCCTTCTCAGCTATGATAGTATAAAGAAGGGATTATATAAGGAAATACAACACCTTTTTGTTTTTTGTTTTTTTTTAAAACCCTCCTAAACCGCTGGTGGTAGTACTAGTGAGTAGAAAGCAGAAGTTGACAGGCAGAGTACTAAAGAAGACATGCTAATCAGCAAAAGCCTCCAGAAATCTACACACAATGCCCCCTTAAGTTTTTTTGCTTTTTGTTTTGGTTTGGTTTGGTTTGGTTTTTTGCCCCTTGAGTTTTAGATGAGTACTAAGATGCATGGAGGTAGGGTGAAATCCCTGAGGTCAAGCAAAGCATCTGAGGCAGCTGTGAACAAACAGTTCTCAGAGATTCCATGTAGCTCTGGGTATTTGAGTTTCAACCAGCTAGAGTGGGGACTCCTTTTGGACTCTCTTCAGTCCAGAAGGACCATAGCTTCATAGTAGGAATAAACTACCCCTAAACTAAAGGCTAACCTGCATGTTCCTTAACAAAGCTTAAAAACAAGCCTTAAAAGAAAAAAAGAAAGAAAGAAAAAAAAAAAAAAAACTGGACCAAAGTAACTTTATTGGCAACAAAGGAAAACAAAAAACACTGAACAACATAAAATTCATCATGGCCTAAACTTCCAATCAAATGCTGAATGCAGGAAAATGTCAATCAAAAGAAACAGATCCAGAAATGAAATAAGCACACAAGCATATTGAAACATAACTGCTGTTATATGAGAAGATATTTAAAATCCAAATAGAACTTCTAGAGATGGAAATTATAGTATCTGAAGTGAAAATGCCATTCGATGCAATTAACAGAAAAAAAGGTCCGTGTTCTTAAAGATGCAGCGTAAAATATATCCAAAATGAAGCACAGAGAGGGATAAAAGACTTTTTAAAGAAATGAACACATCCACAGTAACCAGTGGGAAAGTATGAAGCACACTAATTTAAATGTCATAAAAAGTCCCCCAAAGAAGCAGGGACAGAAAATATATTTGAAGATACAGTAATGGCCGAATTTTCTTTCGTTTGATAAAAGCTATAACCCACAGGTTGAAGAAATTCAGTGAACCCTAGGTAAGCTCAATACAAAGAAAACAACACCAAGACATATCACAAACAAGTTGCCAATAAATAGTGATAATAATATCAAAAGTCTTAACATGAACTAGAGAAAAATGAAACAGAGGAACAAAGAAAGAATAATATCAGAATATTCTTCAGAAACTATGTAAGCCAGATGATAAATGACATTTTCAAAGTGCTAAAAGAAACTGTCAATCTAGATTCTATATTTAGAATAAATGTATTTCAAAAATGAGGCCTAAATAAGACTCTTCCAGAAGAAAAACACTGCAAGAATTCATTTCCAGCAGATTGTCAATACAAGATAAAGTAAGCTTCTCAAGTGAAAGGAAAATATCACCAAGTGGAATCTGAACGAAGGAATGGGAAATGTCAGAAATGGTAAATGTGTGACTTTGTAAAAAAAAAAAAAAAAAAAAGACTTTGTTTACTCATTTTTTAATTTTGTAAAAGATAATTTAAAGCAAAAATAATATATTGTGGGTTTCAAAACAGAGACATAAAATGTATGGCAGTGATCAAAAAAATTAATGAGAAAATGGAAATATATTAAGTTTTTACATTGCACATGAACTGATTTAATGGTAAATCATGATAAATATGTATATTGTAAACACCAGAGGAACAAGTTAAAAAAAATTTTAATTAAGCCACAAAATATAACTGATAAGCTAGTAGTGAAGATGAAATGGAATCTCGAGAAAAAGATTTGGTTCAAAAGAAGATACAATTGGGGTGCCTGGGTGGCTCAGTGGGTTAAAGCCTCTGCCTTCTGCTCAGGTCATGATCCCAGGGTCTTGGGATCGAGCCCCGAGTCGGGCTCTCTTCCGCGGAGAGTCTGCTTCCCTTCCTCATTCTCTGCCTGCCTCCCTGCCTACTTGTGATCTCTGTCTGTCAAAAGAATAAATAAAATCTTTAAAAAAAAAGAAGAAGAAGAAGAAGAAGATACAATCATAAAGAAATAGAAAACAAATGGTATGGGACACCCGGGTGACTCAGTCAGTTAAGGTCTTGGTCCCAGGGTCCTGGGATCAAGCCCAGCATTGGGCTCCCTGCTTGCTGGGGATCCTCCTCCTCCCTCTGCCGCTCCCCCTGCTTGTGCTCACTCTCTCTCTCTCTCTCTCTGTCAAATAATAAAATTAAAAAAAAAAAAAAAAAAAGAAAAGGTATGATGGTAGACATATTCAAACATGGATAACTATATTAAAACTAAATGGTCTGTATATCCACATAATGGAATATTATTGAAAAGAAATAAACTCTGATGCTATGAAATGACATGGAGGAAACTGAACGCATGTTACTAAGTGAAAGGACTAATCCGAAAAGGCTACACACTGTGATTCCAGCTATATAACATTCTGGAGAAAGCAAAACTGTAGAGACAGTGGGGGCGGGGGGGGGGAAGTGGTTGCCGAGGGCAGGGGATACAAATAAGCAGAGCACAGAGGATTTTTAGGGCAATAAAAATAAGCTTTCTCACCGAAATGCACCTTGAATAAACCAGAATGCGTGGAACAGCTGTTTGAGATCCCTGAAAAGTAAATAATATCAGATAAATTGGAGAAGACCAGAATTCGAATACCCTGAACTGGTAATAAATTTATGATTTGTTTGCTTCCAGTATCCCCAGTCTGGTCTCAGGCAGCCCGAAACTCAGAATTAAGGCATCAGCACAGATGAACTAGCTCCTCTAATTCTAACTTGAGGAATGGGGCAAGGATCTCCTAATGCTTAGAGAAATC